ACAGGGTTCTATATTCATCCTCTGGTCAGCTATATATCCCCCAAGATAAATGGTGTCTGTGTTCTTAGTTTTAAGATAAGAGGAACAAAAGAACATGCACAAGTTCTCTAAAAAGTGGCCGGGCAACCTTACCAGAGCAAGGCAGGGAGATCGCCTAGTTGGTCAAAGGTGCCAGAGGTGACATTCGGATTCGGTGCAGCCAACTTGGCAAGCCGGGCAGGTACACAGATGGCTTCAGCCTTTAGGAGTGTGCTAGCAGTGCGAGATAGTGGGAAATGGGGTCAGAGTGGGCCCAGCAGTATGAGACGAGATGTCTGTTAAGCTTCATGCACTAGCCAACGTAACCAAAAGTCCAAACTGATGGAAAGGGCTAGGCAATCCACATATACACTTCAACACCCCCTCTCACATGTGACGCAGGAAGTCAACACGTAAATAGACTCACAGGTATGGCTCAAGAGGCCTATACATGGACATAGAGGGAACAACAGCAATTTTCAGATAAATTGCAGAAGCCAGGATTTGAGCTCAAAACCTTAGGCTCTGATGATACCATGTTAAGCTTCATGCACTAGCCAACGCAACCAAAAGTCCAAACTTTCAGAAAGAGCTAGGCAATCCACATATACACTTAAAAAATGTCGTGGTGGCAGAGGCAAGCAGAAGTGTAGCCTGGCAGAGCAGATATGTAGCAGCCATGGAGCCGGAATAAAATTATGAAGTGATACTACTTGCGCGAAATACAACTAACCAGTAACCCACATAAATTTAGCATCTGATTTGGAACTAGGATAATAGTATGAATGCTACAAATAACAATATTATCATCCTCCCTGGCATGGATGACATGAACCAACTGCACCAGGAAATGAGGCTGCCGCTTAGGGAAGATGGCCTTGGAGTACTCTAAAAAGCACCAAGCTGGGGGCAGGGTAGCCTCCAGATTCTAGTCAGGATTAGGCAGACACGTTGATAGGAGGGTGGCGGCTAGCAGCTAAGCAGGGTAACGTCCACCATCTAGAGCACTGGTGCCCTCCTAGCTGATCGCACATACCATGGTTCTAGATCAGTAGCCTAGTATTCCCCTCTCTGAAACTGGGTATTAGCAGCTGCAAGCAGCAGTAGACCAGTCAACAACTCAAAAGTGATTTGTGATTAAAATTGGTATCGATCCATTACATACGAACATATATTCCTAAATCATCCTGCAAAATTAACTGAACCATGACTAGGCACACCCGAGCATCAGGAGATATGTAGTGAAATCGATTGACTAACACTCCAAGCATTCAGATACGCCAGCATAGAGCAAAACGCGGTGGTCAGACGAATGAACAGGTGCGAACGGGGAATCCTCATCGTAGAACGAAAATTATGGACTCGAACCAATCCCATGAGCGATTATGCATCCGCCGCATCCAGATCTAGTGACAGGCAACACAAATCCGACGCCGAACCGATGAATTGGGCTGGCTAGCATCGCGTGATTTGGGGCCGGGTTCGTACCTCCGGCTGGAGCAGAGGCCCGCGCCCGAGGTGGGTGATGTAACGAGGACCGGGGAGCTTGCCGGACTCCGTCCGCGCCTAGGGCCGACCGCCGGTGTCGTCGCCGCGGAGTGGGTATGGTATGGGTCGGAAGGGAGGCGTCGCTCGGTTCGGGTGCGGTGCAGAGAGAGAGAGGGAGGGGGGAATGGAATGGGTGAGGGAGGGAGGGGAGGAGTGAGGCGTCAGGGGCGACGGGATTTTGCATTTTGGCTTTTGCGGCCTCCTCTATTTTTGGGGCGGGTTCACGCAACGTATAGCTGGCCAAATGGGCCGTTCTTTTCGGGCCGGCCTGTGAGCACGCGCGGCACGGCCCGCTTTGGGCCAGGCACGGCACGGTCTAAACGGGCCGGGCCTGGCACGCGGCACGCCCTGGGCCGTGCCTGGGCCTGGAGGCTGGGCACGCGGGCCGGCACGGCACGGCCCGATTACGTTATTGTTTGTTTCCCACAAGAAAAAAAGAGCAACTTTTCATCCCTATTCATTTTCATGTGGAACACCACAAAATACGACAGAGGAAGAATTATCAGCGTGTTAATCGTGTTGGTAACATGATTGATGAAGTCATAACAGACGCCTCGCCATCAATTAAAACATCTCTTCCAACTAAGCGAATCATCGAAAAAATCCTAAAATAAATGCAGCAAAATACCCAAGTCTAGAGCTGAACTCTATGGGCTGATTCCACCACAGGAAACCTAAGCAATCGTGCCCCCAGCTGGCTGGCGAGTTTCTACGCATTACTCAGTTCGTAGTAGATGTTTATTTTGCGTGCACTGTGGATTATTTCCAAAGCCAAAACAATTAAAATCTGCAAGCCGGAAGTCTGTAATTTCAGCAATTTCAGCCTCTATCGCATTAACGCTCAATATTTCTGGAAAAAAAAACGGATACACAAGCCAAAAGGCTTTAGGAAACTAAGGACAGAGTGAAAGCCACTCGGGCGTGTAACAAGCAATTGTACAACGAGACTCCCCAGATATCATCGTAACATTTTTGACTAGTGGTACTTCTCCAACAGGCACAAACACTGTCTGCTTACTTGGTTTTGATCAGCTTGTCGATGATGCTTTTCAGAGCCGGCGCACTGGCGCTGCACCTCTGATCGGCGAAGCACGACCTCCCTTCCTCAGCTGCCTTGCACAGCTGCGGGTCCATCGGCACCTTGCCGAGGAAAGGGACCCCCATCTCATGGCACATCTTCTCTGCGCCACCCTTGCTGCTGTCAAACACCTCGCTGCAGGCCACGACCGACAAAAGCTCCGGAGCCTTCTCCTTGATGTAGTTCATCGCCCACTCCGTGGCATCCGTCTCCCCTGCGGGACCTGGCTTTACGAACTTGAGGTCTGTGAACGCCTGCCTCAGGCCACTCATGTTCTCCACAACGCCCAGCACCGGCACACCCACCTTCTTGCAGAAATTGATTTCCTTCCTCACGTCAATTAGAGAGACTTGCTGCGGGGTCGTCACGATTATCGCGCCATCAACTTCGGTGGCTTGTAGGTACTGGACGATTGAGATGTGCTCGTCTGATGTTCCAGGGGGTGCATCCACTACAAGGTAGTCAATCTCACCCCAGTCAACATCCTTGAGGAACTGTTTGATCAATCTGTTCTTGCGAGGACCCCTCCATATGACCGCATCATCTGGGTTAGGCAGCATAAAACCAATCGACATGACACCAAGGTTGGACTCAACGTAGATCGGTGACCACCCAAGGTTGCTCTGATGAATATCCTGGCCTTCAACGCCTAACATTTTCGGGATGCTAGGGCCACATATGTCTATGTCGAGAAGGCCAACCTGATGGTCCATTTCAGCTAGGGCAAATGAGAGCTGGGCTGAAAATGTGCTCTTTCCAACACCTCCCTTTCCTGACAAAACCAGTATCTTGTGTTTCACAGTAGCCATCCGCTCAGCAATAGCAACCAAGTCTGAACACACACAATGCAATACTCATCAACATTTTTAGGCCACTTAAAATGGAAGTAATAGAAGCGGACGTACTAAGTATATTTGCGCACGCGTTAACCACCAATTATAACAAACGATTATCTAGCCTATAATAGATCAAGAACAAAAACTAGCATATGGTTATCTTAAGCACAAAAACTAGAGCAGGCCCAAGACAAACAACAACAGTCAGTCAGTCAGCACCGATCAGGCAGGAAGCACACAGTCAGCTAAGAATACTGGACAAAGGAGCTAC